ATTTTGTTCTTTATGGCTCATAATATTCCATCATGTATATGTACCACTTTTTAAAATCCAGTCAAATTTTGATGGGCAAGACGGTTGGTTCCATGTTTTGCTATTGTAAGTAGTACTGCAATAAACATGCGTGTGAAGATATCTTTTTTGTAGAGTGATTTAAGTTCCTCCAAGTATATTCCCAGAAGGGGGATTGCTGGGTCATATGGAAGGTCAATTTCTAGTTAGTTCAGAAATTGCCACACAGTTTTCCATAGAGGTTGAACTAATTTGCATTCCTACCAGCTGTGTAGAAGCGTTCTCTTTTCTCCGCATTGTCACCAGCATCTGTTTGTTTTATTAGTGATGGCCATTTTCACTGGAGCTAGATGGTATTTCAATGTGGTTTTGATTTGCATTTCTCTGATGATTAGTGAGGCTGAGCACCTTTTCATGTGTCTGTTGGCTGCTCATATGTCTTCTTTTGAGATGTGTCTATTCATGTCTTTGCCCACTTTTTAATGGGGCTGTTTGTTTTTTTTCCTTTCAGTACATTTGATTTTCTTTTTGATCCTAGATGTTAGGCTTTTGTCAGATATGCAGTTGGAAGACAATTTTTCTCATCCTGTAGGCTGTCTCCCCACTCTCTGGATGATTTCTTTTACTTTGCAGAAGCTTTTCAGTTTGATGAGTTCCCACTTGTCTATCTTATCTCTTATGGCATGGGCATTTGGGATTTTAATCAGGAATTGTTGCTTTTTGATTGAGAATTCTCTTATTGCTAAAATTGGTGGATAAGTTCTGTGATTGTTTTAATCACTGTACCAAAATATCACCAAGCCCATATATAACTACTATATGAAAAATCCTGTTTTAGTATGCACTGGAAAAACTTACCAGGTACTTTTCAGGTGTGTGACCAATTGCTGAGTTAACATGATTTACTTCATCATAGCATTTGCTCAACTTTTGACCTGTCTGAATAAAGAGACTTTCTGGGGCAGTGGGGCTCTTTAAAATACTTTAATCTAAGGTGTAGGGTAATCTTTGTGGTAACTTGGATCCTGGTTTCCAGTTTATGTGTGCCATGACCAACAAAATTTAGCAGCTTGTAGAGCCACACAATATGTTTCCTGGTGTAGATACAGAAATATTATTTTTGCTGCATAGTAAGTGTTTTACTCTTTAAATAACTGAAGCAGAGCTGTATCATGTGTTTCAGGCTATTCCTCCATTCCAATGTGTGGCTCCCCAGCATGAATCTGAATATCTAGAGGGCTTATTAAAACATAGATGATTGGGCCCCAACCCCAGAGTTTCTGATAGGTGTGGGGTGACAGTGAGTGTTTGTATTTCTAACAAATTTCCAGGAGATGTTGATACTGGTGCTCCAGGGAGCATGCTTTGAGAAAGATTGGTCGAATGCAGTTTGTCTCAAAGTCAGTTCCTCAGACCCTCAAATCAGAATCACCTGGACTGCCTGTTAATCTGCAGAGCCTCAGGATCTATGCTGATTCCCGAGTCCAAATCTCCAGACTGTTATGCTGATGATTTGTATTTTATCAACCCTCCCCACCCAACAAGAGGTGACTGTGAATGGCCAGTTTTTCGAGATGCACACTTATATCTAAGAACCAATGATAAAGGTGGTCTGGGGATATTGTTAGTCAGGGAAAACATAATCAAGTTTCTTCTCAAACATTACCAACTTGAAAACTAATCTAATAAGTATACATACATAGTAGTTAAATGAATTAATGATAGTGAATGAATGCAAACAGTTGCTACTGTGAAAGTTGTCAGAATCAAAATGGAGTCGTGTGTGTGTGTGTGTGTGTGTGTGTGTGTGTGTGTGTGTGTGTGTGTGTTTAACCCGATTAATAGAGCCAAGGAAGGCCATCAAGAGAATGGGTCTCACCTGCAAATGCCTGATAACAAAAACTATCACAAAAGATTGCAAAAACTGCAACTTTGCACAAAGGCCATCACAACCTTACACAAAAAATACTTCTGTGAAGACATCTGCCCAGCAACTGCCTGTCTAAACTTTGACTGGCATCACCCTTGTTATTGGTTCTTGTATGCAAGGATAATCATCTCAAAACAATTATGTAATCCTTGTTTTTCAGTTAAGAACCTTTGGCTTAAAAAAAAAAAAAACTCCTGAATATGCATAGTTTAACTGTGGCATTATGGCCTGTGTATTCTCCTTGCAATTCCCTATTCTCAAATAAATATCATTTTCTTTTAGAGAGCTTCTCTCTGTTTGTTATTTAGGTTGACACTGCTTCCTGCTTGCTCTCAATGCCTTCTCTTATTTTACTCTGGAATATATCATCAATATTTTAATTACTTGCTTGGTCGTATTCATTCTCGACAAAAACCTTCTATCTTTTTTTGTTGTTGTATCTCCTGTGCCCAACCCAGTGTTTGCACATAATATATATATATCATCATTGTTTGTTGGAATAAATAGTTATAAATGTTAGAGTATCTCTTAGAGTGAGCCTGAAAAAGAAGTGGCATAAATTATTAGACTTCCTTGTTTCTTTGAATATACATTGAAATGTTGGAAGAGGAGGGCTAGCAGGTTTGTTCAAGTATAATATGAAGACTGAGACTGTAGCTAGAAAAGCCACAGCCAATTCCAAAGGAGTAGGGTGGTGCCAAGATACAGCATGAAGTCGGGAGTCTGTAATATAAAGGTCACTGCAAATGATTAGAAAGTACATGCAATACAGTCCATACTTCGAAAGTGAAGGGAACATGTGGGGAAAAAGGAAGTGGATGTTCTAGTTCTAATGAACCTAGTGTGTGCTAAAGATTTTGTGGGGTGGCCAGAAACAAGAATAACAAAGCATGTAAAGAAGGATCAGAATGTGACATGTGGCAAGTCAGGCATTCATTCATCCCAAATTAACCTTGGCAGATGAATTCGTTTGATATTCTGGCTCCAGTTGCTTTTTTACCTTTCTTAGCCAGGAAAAGAAAGCAAGGCTTTAATCAGGCTGTTCCGCTCTTATGCCAAAAAGTCTAGAATAGAAATGGGCCATGATGTGGTGAGCAGTTCCTGGTACTGTGGTTGAAATCAAGGACTGTTTAAATACTACTGTTCTTGTTTCTGCTGTTATTCACAGCCAGTGTCTCAATTCTAAACCCTGTTGTTGGTTCCCTGAATAAGCATGCAATGCCCTGTGTTTTAATAGTCTTGTTTAATTTCCTATTCCATGTTTCACAGTCTGCCTTCTGGATGTCAGAACTTTAGTTATTGTGTTTGTAGATTACCTGTATTTTCAGTTTCCTGTCCAAACAACTTAAGTTCCAAAAATATAGTCCACTTTATTCTCTGAGGTCTGTGTGCATTTGTACTGAATGCTGCCACCATATCTAATCCAGTTGTAGTTTGGTGCCTGTCACGTGTACTTTGCTCTCAGGCCTATCTCAGTTACCTGGAGTCTCAGGATTCTGACACTGGATTTACAGGTGTTGCCACTCATGCTCATATGATCTCCGCTGTATTCTCCTCATTTACATTACTGCTGCTGTCTGGATCCCTTTCCAAGAGCATACAGGGAGAAATTAGATGGTACTTCTATTTCAATTTTTTATTAGGGATGAACCGCCGAAACTTTCCAAGAAAGATCGTTTTATGATCTACCCAGAGTTTCAGAGCCTAAAGACGTTTAAATCTTCTTTCAGATTATACCAGAATTAGATTTTCGGAAAATATAGTGTGTGTTAAAATCCTACAAAAATTCTTTGGTTTAGGTTCTGGGCTCAAAAGAGTATAGGCAGGTTCTTCACTAATTAAAACTTTGGCAGGGCATTCAAAGGTTGTGATGTATGTGGGAGATTATTCATTGCATGGGAATATCTCACTAATTGCAGGACAACCAGCATCTTAGAGAAGTCAAGTCAATTTAAGCCATATCTCCCATTATTGTAATGTTTCAAAGCATGTCTTCAAATTTCCTAATTGCCCCAATGGGTTAATATCACATCTAATGAGAACTACTGGTGTAGATTGCTCAATTTTAAATTGCTGGGACGGGGGAGGAACCCACAGAAAATGCAGATGCTCAAAACCCGAACAAAATCAGCAAGAAGGGGTGTCTGTTGTGTAGGAATTCACCAGTCATGTGCCTCAAGGAATGGCCTAGATGATATTCTGTGGGTCCCTTCTGGCTATAGAACTCATACTATTTACTTCATAGAATAATATAAGATCATTTATGGATAAATAATAATCATGGTTAATAGATATTTATATCATACATATATTTATGAATCAAAATTTAAGGACAGACTCTTCAGTTACTAAATATGATTGATAGATGAACTTCTAAAGATAAAAAAAATGCGACAATTAAGATATTGAAAATCTAAGCTTTTGAAAGAATGTCATGTGACATTTTAGAATAATGTCAGTTTGAATTAAAATGTTTCTATGCTTAATTCAGAATAATGACATTTTTGGTATTAGTGAGAGGAAAGAAAGTCAACACTATTTAATTCAAATTTACCTAACTGAAGTAATTAAAGCATCATGTAAGTTTGTATCTCAGTTCTTTCTGAGAAAGGGTTTTAGATATGGTCTTTTATCCTTCCTCATATGACTATTGTAATGAATGATCAGTGATCACCTTTGTCTTTACTTAAAGGATTTACTTTAATCCTGAAGTATCTTGTATAGTCTCTGTGACCAATATATGTTAATTAGATGTTTGTTCTATAAATGAATGGTTTTAGGTACACTTCAGAAAAGATTATGTGAATCCAATCTAAGATTATTCTATTATAAATAGTTTTAATATTGAAAACAATTCTTTGCACTTCCTTTTAAGATCTTTTATTCCATGTGAACGTGCATGGACCGATACATATTTTTTTCCATATGAACTTCATGAACAGATGATAGATGGCAAGTATTAGTAAGCACTAAAAGAACAAGCTTCTCTACATCTCATTATCATCCTGGCTATTCACTTGTCTCATGTTTTTATTGTTCTTCTTTTTGACAGGGATTCGATAAACAAGTGGATGTGTCATATATTGCCAAACATTACAACATGAGCAAAAGCAAAGTTGACAACCAGTTCTACAGTGTGGAAGTGGGAGACTCAACCTTCACAGTTCTCAAGCGCTACCAGAATCTCAAGCCTATTGGCTCTGGGGCTCAGGGAATAGTTTGGTAAGTGGAAGGGGATTTGTTATGTTTCTGAAGGGTGCATCTACTAGATACAGTGTGCACCTACTAGAAACAAACAAACAAGCAAAACCCCTCAGATAAGTAGCATGACTTGGGAGGGGAAAAAATCCCAATCAAGAAGAAAAAGTATTATGAGAAGTATCTGTTATTTATTATCTACTTATTAGCAATATGTACAGCTTGACTTGTGACATATTTTTCTGGTCACAAGAAAAAAAAAAAAGAAAAGTCATTGCACAAGGACCATAGACAAATCAAGAGAACTAGAAGTTTCTAGCTGTTGCTAATGTAGTTGACAGATTTTATTTGTATGTTTCACAGCAAGAAATGAGGAGGAGATATATTTTAAGATGATAGCAAATATAACTTCTCACGTACTAGAAAGGGATATCTGATATTTCAAATGTCCCTATGACTTTCAAAGTTCAATGTTTAAAATTGAGTTGCCTGTTTAGAAAAAGCAGCATTTATAAAATGTTTACCCAATGTTTCCAAAATGGGAAGATTGTGGACTCCTTAGTAACCATTCTTTCATGACATTTTTGAGTGACTAATTGAAATCATGACAAATCTCGATCTGGTTTACCTGTTATAAAACTTGTGAAAAGGTTATACCAGGTTAATTGATCATTTTTTTAGACAGTTTTAATTTGTAATGTTGCAAGCAAATGTACTTAATATGAGCTTATTAGTATAATAATTTTAATCTTTTTGATGATTCACTCTGATGAGTAAACTTTAGGATATGTACCCTGAATATACTTATTTATATTTATACAGGGGATGCCAAAAAAAAAGTATCCATATTTCAAGTATGACGTTCACTCAAAAGATGGCATTAATCAAATGAATGCTAGCATCCCCAGGTAACAGGTAGGGCAGTCAAAGAATATAGTGGAAGCAAGATTGGGCGAACATCATACTACACATTGCTACCATCTTCAATTCAACTTCAAAAAATAATACATAGATAACATCTCTTAAAAAGTGTGTACATTTTTTGGCAACCCCTGTAGGCATATGTCTATTTATTTATAATGGATACTTATTTACATATTCTTTTGTTACTGCTATATTAATAATGTCCATTTAAAAATACAAACAAGGGATGAGATGAGAATGAAATGTACATTAAAAAAGTTTTAAACTTCTTTTTCATTCACTTGAAATATTAGCAATGCTGTTTTAGTGATCGTAATGGATAGTTTTCACTATTTTTCAAAGCTTCATTTTATATTTCATAAAACTGAAAATTTGGTTAGTTTTGTTTTGATAGTGAGTTTAAGTTCTGTCTCAGTGCTCGGTTGATGCAAATACAAGTGCATAGTTGGCACACTTACTAAATCATAATACTAGGATTTAAACTTTGCATAACAGATATTCCAAGGATCTCATAGAAATTCACCTAGTAATTTTCCATCTTTTTCTAATGTCACTCTGTAGTTGTTTTTGCAATTTGAAATATGGAATATGCCAATATTTTAAGCAATTAGTCAAACCTTTACCATAGTAAAGATATTCAAACAAGTAAACAAGTAGAGATGTTTTTTATTTTATTTTTGTTATGGTGCAGGTATAAGGTGAACCTCTTTGTGACATAAAATAATTTTGTGGTGTGGTAGGCACAAAAATGCTCAGGCCTCCCAAACATGCTCAGGCCCTAATCCTTAGAATCTTTGAATGTCTTACCTGGTAAAGCAAAAGGGATGTTGCAGATGTGATTGGGATTAAGGACTTTAAAATAAAAAGATTTTCTTGAAATACTCAGGTGGGACCAGTCTAATCACCTGAATTCTTTAAAGTGGAAAAGGAAAGGTAGAAATATGAGTTGGAGAGATGCAATGGGAGAAGATGAAGAAGAGATGTGAAATATGAGAGAGACTTGCCTTGTGGATAATGGCTTTGAAGATGGGGGAAATGGGGCCAGGAGGAATGCACCTGACCTCTAGATGCTGAGAATAAACAAGAAAATTTTCAGAGATTTTAGTCCTGCAACCGCAAGGAATTGATATCTGCCAACAACTAGAATGAGTAAGGAAACAGATTTTCCTCTAACTCCTTCAGAAAGGAACTCAGCCTGCCAACCTCTCGACTTTGGTCCAGTGATCCTTCATAGAACTTCTGATGTACAGAATTGTAACATAATACATTTGTGTTGTTTAAGTGGCTAAGTTTATGGTGATTTTCTGTGCCAGCAATACTAATAAACATGGCATAGTAAAGATTCTAATTGCTGTAAGGATAATTGCTGTAAATCTCCTAAATTTACCAGGGGAAGGAGAAAAGAGAGTGAATTCTAATTTTCCTTGATGGAAAATTGTAAAATATTAATATGAGAAAGTTTTTCTGACTAAGATTCTCAGTTTGGATGCTATAATACTCCTTGGGATACCTTCATTTTCTTTTAACTGTAACCAGAGACAGAGAGGACTCCAGTGGGGAAAAAAAAACCAACTGATAGACCTTTAATAACTCAAAAATAGTTGCAATGCCACATTTTGCCAGGAAGTTAACAGAATGTCACAGAAAGATTTGAAAAACTTCTACTAAGGATTCTGCAGTATGTTTGATAGGACATTTTGGGCCTCTATTTCTTCTTCTAAAGGATAGAAATTATCCTTGACTTGAGGTACAGTAAGTGAAAATACATTTCAATAAATAAAATGTCCTTGAGTACAATTTTTAATTTAGGTGTAGAACAAATTTATTAGTAAACTTGCAGCAAAGGGACTCCTGAATTTCAAAATGTTAGTTAGCATTGGAGTTTCCTGAAATTATTAGTCTTTTTGTTGATAACTGAGGAAAATAAAGTCATATCAGGCTAGCAAAAAGCAAGATGAGGCAAAAAAAGGATGGCACATTTCTCTCCTTCCTCTTTTAATTACCACTCCACCATGTGCTTGAAGATGACAATTACAGTGCTTTCCTTCCAATACAAATGGGGTGGTCCCTTCCTTGTTCCTCTTCCTCAAACTAGGCTTGGCTATGTCTTTGTTTGCCTCTCATAATCTGAATCTGTAATGTACTATTTCTCTTGCAGACTTATTCTTGTATTGATTTGTCCTCTTAATCCGCCTGCCATTAATTTAAATTCCTTTCTATTGCCTTTGTTAATGGTGAGCTCATTCACCTGTCTTTCACCGAACACATATTCATGCCCAGACATGCCGAAATCCATAGACCTTTCCTAAGTTCATGACAACTGTCAGATCTGCACAATATCTTGAAAGTTCTATACAATCCTGAGTATAGTGACTGGTTAGAATTGAAAACTGGGAATTTCTGAAGTCTCTGGGAAACAGAAAAACTGAGGTACATCATTCATTTATTTTACCTTATTTTCTTTGTAGTAAAAATAAAATATGGAGGAAACAATTCCAAAAGAGATGTCATCAATTTTTGTGCATGTGTCAGAATAGAATATTGTGTGTGTAGGCAAGAGGAATTCTGCTTTTTGAGTGTAAATATTGGCATATTGATACTATGTCACAGAATCTGTATCTACCTACTTGTTTGAAATGGAGTTACTACTATGGAATTCCAGTTATTGTTATTGGGGTTTTACAATTTATGTAGCTTCTTTGGATGTTTTATTACTTAGTTATCATCAGGGAGAAAAAGGCAATACTAAAATAACTTCAAAAGAAATTAACTACTACTATACCATTTTTTCATTCATGATAGATGATAGGCCAAAAAGTCATTATTGAGAACCATTAAATAAAAGCTAACATGAAGTCTTTTGGAAAACATAAAAATGTTCCTTCTTCCTTTGAGGAAAAAATAAGATTATGTGTTGAAGCAGAAACAGTGAGAATTATTCTGCTTCACTGTGTGAGCTAAGAAGTCCTCTTTAGCCTCATAGGTGGGGAATTGTAGAAGAATATGTAAGATGAGGTTTTAGCAACAGTAGTCTGGATCCAGATGAGCAAATCATTTCAGAACATTTTCCCAATCATCAAAAAAGGGTCTCATTAGTGTTTTTTTCTACTACCAGCTCCAGAACAAAAACAAGCACAGGAACAAATCAACAGCAGGGGGTTCATTGCCTTCTCTCACTTCCATCCTGCTGCTTGCCAAGTCAAGGAACATTTTCCATTTTCTCATTTCTTTCTTCAAAGACAATTCAAACTGACAGCAAAAGTGGTGACAAAAGTTAACAGCTAAGTTGAGTAGAGAAGACTTGCCCAGGTTGGTTTGGTCTTTAACTGAAAAGAGCTGAATGTATAGTTTTAAACGACAGGAGGTAAAGGCTGTTTTCCTTACTGGTGTAATGCATCATCAGCTTGTAAGTAGTTCCAGTTCAATTTTCCAGGATGGTGTTCTGCAGGATATCCACAGCAAGGATGTAAGTTTAACACAGACAAAAGCATAGAACTATTGTAAAAAAACAAACTGTGCCTTGAAAATTAAATATTTAGAAATAAGATGATGTATTTAATGTTAACTAAACTAAAAAAAAAAAACAATTAGAGCTAAAGTGTGGCATTTAATCCAAATTGAAATAATTATAGTAAGATGCCCTGAAAATAATCTAGTGGATTCATTTATTTTAAGTGGAATATATATCCATATGTACATGTACATATATAAACAGTAGTTCCTCCTTATCTATGGTTTGCTTTTCATGGTTTCAATTACCCACAGTCAACCAGGGTTTGATAATATTGAATGGAAAGTTTCAGAAATAATTTATGATTTTTAAGTTGCATGCTGTTCAGAGAAGCATAATGAAATCTCGCTTCATCCTACTCCATCCTACCCAGTCCCATTGGTATGTGACTCATCCCTTTGTCACTTAGTACCAGGCTTGGTTATCAGAGTAACTACCATGGTATTGCACTGTTTTTATTAAAGTAACCCTTATTTTATTTAGTAATGGTCCCAAAGTGTAAGGGGAGTGTTGTGGGCAATTCTGACATACCAAAGAGAACCCTTAAAGTACTTCCTTTAAGTGAAAAGGTGAAGAAATCTTCTATTTG